GACGGCGGATCCACTCCTGCTCACTGGACAGGGCATGGTAGGCGTTCTGAATCACTTTCTGTGGCTCTACAGTTTGAGTCCATTGTTGCTCGGATTTAAGAAAATCTGGAATGAATTAGAATAGCCATTAACACAGACATTCATTAAAATGTTCCTGTAATCTTATCTCTGCTTCTAAATCTCAAGGGTCAAGCAGGGGCGGCGGGTGGAGCCAGAAGAGGAAGAAAAAGAAAACAAACGTAAGTTCATCCATGATATTCTCTGGAATCGCTGTACTGCTCATTTATTCAGTGTAAACACATTCTAATGCTTGAGGCTGATTGAGCAGAAAGCTGGATTACTGATCGCTCTTGTATTTTTTCTCTTTATCAGGCTTCAGAACGTTCTAGAGGATTTCAGAGACATGGATGCGACAGCACTAGAGGAAACCAAGGCTACAGTAAGACAGCTGCCCTTTTATCTGTTCCCATGTTGTTTTTTTGATTGTGATAAATAAGATTCCTTCCAGTCAGTCTTATTTAAAGGTTTTAGATTAAAGGAAAATCTGCTCATTATATGCAGTCACAGACTGCAGCAATTAGAGAAAAAAACTATAGGAAATACAAGTTTTTGTTTGGTAATCCTGAGCTGTTCGAACGCAGCTGTTCCTGCTCATACAGTTCATATCTTATCAAAGTTATTAATTTTAATAAAGTATTTAAACCAGCTAGGGACTTATTGGGGTTCTCAGTGTCTTATTCTAAGATCTAAGTTTGCACTCATTACAGTGAGCTTTGCTATGAGACGTTTAAAGGCTAGAAAAAGTCTGTTGTTCAGAAACTTTCTTGTGCATGAATGAACACAGTTCATATGCTGTCTGAACAAACACAGATGGTGATTTTAATATTTTGCAGGTCTGGAGAGGTTTTCCAGGATAGTCTTTTGACTTTTAGTCCCTGTCCCACTGTCAAATATCGTTCTTCCTTGTCCTCATTCATCTTTCCCTCACTTTAATCCTTCTTTCCATTTGTCATCTGCCTGCTGTTTGTTTTCCTTCCTCACATATTTCTCTCCTATCTTTCCTTCCTCATGTCCTACCTTCCTTCATGTATTCCTTTCCTAAGAAAAAAGTGACAGACTGAGAACTTTGGACAACTGAGTTTAACAAAATCATGAGTTTCCCATAAAGGATGGGCTTTAAACCTGGATAAAGGAGTGAAAACAGTGAGTTCCATCTTTATTTGACCTTTTTTTTTTCCCCCACTACAGGCAGAACTCCTGAAGCCGGACAGGTCTGTGCGTGGTAGACGGAGGCGAGGTACCAGATCTCAGAGGCAGCGATTAGTGGAAGAATCTGTTCAGCAGTAAGCAGTCGGGCAGACACCTCCCTACGAGTCCACTTCACCTCTCTGCTGTCGTCACTACTGCTAAGACCTTTTAATGGAAAAACCAACTGCACTAATCAGATGCTGTTGTCAGGTCATGAATACGGCAACCACTATTTAAAATAACACATAGGAGAAAGATATAGTCAGATGAATTTATTTTTAAACCGTGGGGTTTGGGGGGGTGGGGAGATTTTCATGGATAGTTTTTTCACTAGATTTTCTCTTTAAGTCATAAAACAACGTCTAGACTTTTTGATCAGAGACCTTTTAACTAGGTTGAAAGAGGAGTACTGTTTTCTTCTCATCGGTGTGTTACTATGAGTCAGGATAAAGCTCGTCTACTTGAACGATGTTCTGTGTTGAAAGTGTGTCTCCTCAGCGTTTGTGTGTGTGGGTGTGTGTGTGTGTGTGGATTGGTGTCTTTTTGCGTGTTTGAGTGTGAGCTGTTGCTGAGCCCCAATCGTGTTTGTCAAAATTGTTTCGGTATCAGTATAGAAAAAACCCGTCTCTCATAGCTGTTGTATTTTGAAGACGGTGGGCGTATTTGAAAGTCAATTTTTAGGGTTTAAGAAAGCACAGAAAAACTGTGAGAAAGGAATTCATGAATTTTGTTGACCTCAGATTGGACTTTGCTAAGGAAATGGTTTGGTACTGGTTTCATTGGCTGTTTACAACAATCACCTAAAAAAAAACCAATATGGCTGTTCATTATAACCGTTTATTACCTTCAAGGATTGCTTTCCTTTTTAATGGGCCTATATCATGCAAAATTGACTTCTTTTTAGCCTTTAACTTTGTTTTTTAATGCTTTTCCTTCATCAAAATCATGCACAAAAAACACCCGTTTTCTCTGATCAGTGAGGCAAAGCGTGAAGATTCCGGCTTAAAGTTAAGACCAAGTGGCTCTTTTAGCAACAGGGATGCAACCTTTTTTTTTTTTTAGGTAATTTTTAAATCCTAAAATCTGTTCTTTGGCATCTATCAGTCTCCAGAAGTGCCATAATACGGCGACGTCACGAAAGTAGCTTGGAAGTGTTTTTTACGACAGTGTTGGAAGAAGAAAACTACATTTCATTACAAACACAGTTCTAAGGGCATCATTTCATCATATATTTGATTACAGGTGACATTGACAGGCTTTAAAAAAAGCATGATATAGGCCTTTAAAAAAAAAATTTTTAAGCCAGGGTTTCTAATCACATTTCACTTATTATTTGACCCTCTATGATGAATTACATGTAGCTATAATATGATAGAGAGCATTTTAAAGAAGAAAAACTCCCGTCTACTTACTACAGATTGAATTATTTGCACAAACTTTGTGGTTCAGGAAAGTACTGTATGTCCTTTATAATTGGTGAAGTGGTTTGCAAGGATATCAAGACAGCGTGATGGTGTACGTCTGTATAACTGTCTGTGTGCGTACTGTGGACATGGAGTGATACATCTCTCCTCCCTTTGTTTCCTCATATCAGTCTCTCAGCTCTCTCCGCCACTCACTGCCCTGCCCCAGGAGTTTTGGCATCTCCATCTGTATTTAAAAAAAAAATTGAAAGAAAACCGAAAAGAAAAGCAGATTATGCAATTTCTATACTTGGACATTTGTATATATGTACAGTTAATGTGTTTGATTTTATATTGTCAGAGAAACAACAGAGAAAACAATTGTGAATTTCCTTGGAATTGTAATTATTTTTCTCATTCTACCCCTTTTGCTTTCAATACCTATGTTTAAAAAAAAAAAGACTATTAAATTGTGGACTGTAGCGTTCTTTTTATATGGGAGTCATTTTTTTATTTAATATTAAACTATTTACACAAATTGTATGCTTTGTTTCTTTTATTAATTAGTGCCATTAAAGTATTCAATTTTCACACTTATGTACATGAAATTATTTCTGCAAATTATACAAGTTAGAATTTGAACTAATGTGTTAATATTCACTAAATGTGAATCTTTGGAAACTGATTTTAATGTTCAAAAATGTATTTATAAATCTGGATTGTTCTAGTTACAATTCATCTCAGTGGTTTTCACTTTTTCTTGTTTTAAGGATTGGCTTTGGATTTCTTCACAGATTTCTCTCAGATCTATTTGCTATGTTCACTAAGGTTCTCTTTCAAAACTCAGGCTTTTAAAGAGCAGCTGGATTTATACTAAGATTTTTATTTTTTTTAACACAAGGCAGTTTGTTGCAAAACCACCTGACTACAAGTAAACAGAACACTTTTCAGATTTTATTTTAAAAAGACAAAACAAAAAAACTGATTTAAAATGCACTCAGGTTAGAAGTCTTGAACATAGTTTTAGTCATAAACATGAACTTGACCAACAGCTGGCACCGTCAAACATTTGTCCAATAAAGAACTAATGAATTAATTATTACTTTGTTTTGTTTTTCTGCTTTAAAACACTATTAGAATATATCAGTCTCCGGTTGCAAACTGACACAATTTAAAGATGTTCCTGGAGTGTTGATACTTTTTCAGCTTTAACCTAAAGAAATACTTTGGAAAAATTAAAAAAATACTGAAAGTAGAGTACATCATATGTTGTGTAAAAGTGAAATGCCGACATCTTAAGCTAATTTATTTTAAAACGGGCATCTTCACCTTTTTTCCTAAATTAATTCAAGGATTTTCCAAGAAATTCTGCTGTGCATCACTAAACCCCTTAAGTGATGATTGATTTAAATCATTAATCATTTATTTTCAGCTTGGATATGGTGGTGCTCCTATTCAGTTCAGGCTTCCGCTTCTTTAACGATGCATCAGGGGCGGAGCTAGAGAGGTGGCCATGGCCACCCTTACCCAATCATTGGCCACCCCTACCATTTTTCCCCAATAATACTGACAGTGGCAGCAGTAATACTCTCAATATTCAAAACATTTTAATCTTTCATAGATTAACAATTACTTGACAACCAAAACACTGTGGTTAATTATGCACATCAATATACTAACATTAAAGATGATAAGTACAGAAGCTCTTTTCAGAACTAGATTTTGTGTTATATGGGGTAAAGAGAAAATGCAAGTCAGTCTTCAGTTAAATCATAAATATCTATAATATCATATAAATATCAATTTATGCAGAATGATTATTGATGAAAGTAGGTAAGTAATGACGATAGAAAAGATGCTCGACCCAGAAACCTGAAAGAACTTAATCCACTATACCTTTTATCTAGATCTGAGATGGGGGATCTGGAGTCAACAAGTCATCTCTTTGTCATTTATTTGATCTACCCAGCCACTGAACCAGGTGAGTCCAATCTGGTTTAACTTGTGCAGATTGGACTCACCTGGTCAGAACAAATACATGACATAGAGATGACTTGATGACTCCAGATCCCCCATCTCTGATCTAGATGGATGTATAAATATATGCTTCTATTTGTTAGCAAAGGCTGTTGGAAAGTATAGTTTGTCTTTATTTGGAAAATATGGATGTGGTTGTTCCTTTTCCTGTTGGATCAGTATAGATTGACCCTGAGGTTCTGGTGCCGATCCTGTAATGTTCTTGCTCCGCCTCTGCGATGCATCTCTGTCAGTGATGCTGATGCTGAGGCTGTACCGCTTTAAAAGAGCGGATGCAGACCACGCCCTTCCGCCAACTACCGATAGAGGGCGCCGTTTCCGCTTTAGGCAGGCCGAAAAAAGCAGCAGCTCTACCCCACTGCCCTTCCAGCAGCATCTCACCTTCAGCCGGCCACACGCACATCCGCCGACGCCCCTGAAAGACATCACCAGAAACAAAAGAGAAAACCAAACCGGGGCGAAAGCATCAAACCATCAAGGCGGATCGATTTGATAATGTAGAGCTTGTTTTGCGTGTTTGACATCTAATTCATCCTGCCTGTTCCACTGCGACACGGAAATCCCGCATAGATTTACCGCAACCTTTTTTTTTCGCCTAGTCACGATTAAACCGTGTGACTTCATAACGTCCCAAACGCAATCCGCCTAGGTCTCCATCGTTGTTTTGATTTGTTTGGCAGTCGGATCGGGCCTCATCCGCTCTCCTCCAGCAGCATCTTCCTCATCAGCGCGCATCCTTCAATCTGCGCCATGGCCGATGTACCAGCGGAGTGCAACATTAAAGTGCTGTGTCGCTTTCGTCCTCTCAACCAGTCCGAGATAATACGCGGGGACCAGTTCCTGCCCAAATTTCAAGGGGACGACACTGTCGTCGTGGGGGTGAGTGAGAGGCAGCCGCTTTGTTGCAGGCCCTGCATCAATAAATCATCATCTGTTTGGAGCTCAGCAGGAAAGCAGGAGGCAGCTGCAGATCAAAACGATGCGCATTTTTCACTAAATGAGGGAGCTGTTATAAAACGAAAGGAAGACGTTTTTTATTCATATAATGTTTTGAAAATGCGCACATAGGCCTGCTGCATCAGCTGACTGCTCTGCACAGGGGATGCAACACTCCACAGTATTTATAAAATTTTATGTTGCAACTATGCTGACTGCTTTCCTGAGAATCATATGCATGGGTTAATATAAATAAGAAAGCGGATCCCATTTGTTATTTTTTTTTACTTTAACGTATTTCATAATACTAAATGGACCCTCAGTGGGGGTATGTCCCCCCCCCCCCCCCCAACAAATGTGCTCTGATAATAAACATACAGATCTGTAATAAACCGTGTTTACTCTGCAAGAGTTTAGTAAACACAAATGATTTTACTAAAACAGAAGCACATTAAATAAAAGAGATGCAAATTCAACTTTTAAAAAACAAAATGGACAAAAGGCATCATCAGGCAGCTTTGGGTTTCTGGATTGGAGTTCCCATCTAATCTCTTCCTTCATTTTAGACCTGTTAAACAAAAACTGTAGTCCATTTATGCTTAAACCATGGAGTAAGACTTTATTTTTGTTCATCTTTATGATATTTATGGACATTAACAGTTCTCAAAAACAGTTTTGTTTTCTTAATCGTATTAAATCATTTAATATCTGAAAGCATTGAGTCATACTCTACTCTGAGTAATTTTTACTCTAAGCCCTCGATGACCTAATAGATCATGATCCCAGATAAAAAAGCAAAACAAAATAACTCAAATTTTAGGTAGAAGTTATTAATTTGAATCATATAACCTCTTTTCTTTACCATAAAACCCCTATAGGGTGATTTGAAATCTTTTTTGTTGTAAAGGTACAAACATTGATGCAAAAAATGACTAGGAAATAAAATCAGACTCTTAGCTGGTATTTTAAACACTATGGCAGACTTTTTGCAATAATATCTCTATATCTATTTGTACAATCTGAAGCAATTATGTTGCATTTCAGTTGGAATTGTTTTAACTGAGTACGTCTGGGTTAGAATTTGACTTCCAAGCCTGGATGTATACAACCAAGGGCAGCCAACCTTAAACAGACACAGAGGCTGTCTACAAATCTTCAATTGTTACAAATCTGTTTATATTCCTGTTTGAAAATCATCAGATTAGTTTCTGTTTGAATAAGCTGCTCATAAAATGAGCAAATCTTATTTTCTGGTTTAATCTCCTGACAGGGATCTGTTTATCCAGCCTAGTGGTGCTGAACTATTACTACTCTACATGTCTTGAATCAAGTGTCCATCCTGGGTGATTTTATATCTTTTAGTCCCAATCCTTTAGGTTGAATCTGTCTCCAGTGATGAACGCTAAAATCCTATCTTCACCTTATTCTTATCTTTTAGCATGAGGCTAGATGCTACAGTCAGAAACTGATCTGTCTAATTGCCTAAGATCAATAATCATTTAGCGGCTGTGGGCATTACTGCCTGACCTGGTTTTTCATGTCTCTTGCTTTTACCATCTGTCTCCTCTTCTGTCTTTGAATTTTACACAGTTTTTATCCTCTTGTGCTGTTATGTTTAGTCCTCTCAGCTTTGCTTCTGGCATTTTATAGTCTTTGGGTTTCCTGCATGTCTGTCCCTCCTCCCCACCTAGTTCTGAAACTATCATAAATCCCTCTGACATGTAGGCGGACTGCAGATGAGTCAATTTGCTAATGACGATTAAAACAGCTCACTTTCTGGCTGATGACATTATTGTGTAGCAGGCTGGCCTCCGTATCAGATGGGACGGTGACATTCAGAGGTTACTGAGTCATCTAGAGTCAAATGGAGGCTTCCTTTGTTTTAGGAGGAACTCATTTGTTTTCAGGATTTGATTTGAAATAAAATAAAATTCTGGAATTAAAGGTGATTAAAATATCCTTGGATTAATTGTTTCCAATCTACAGTCTAAAAAAATAAAAATTCAGTATTTCATAATAAGGTATTTTTCCGATACAAACACTGGCTCCTGGCTGGAAAAGATGAAAGTTTTAGTCTGATTTCCAATCTCTACTTTTAGTTACAGTAACCCATTTCCTGCTGATCTTGTTATAAGCTTATTATATGCTTCTTCACTGTGCTAAAATACTGTTGAAATAAAACATATTATAAAATATGTTTGGAATTTTATTGATAAGTCATCCATTTTGAGGTTACAGCTATATATATATATATATATATATATATATATATATATATGATTTATTATTGCAGCTATTATGACTAAAATAGCAGTAACCGCTGAGTATATTCTAGAGAATGTATTTCTAGACTTTTAGATTCCAACAAAGCTACCAACACCCCCAAATCTGTAATGTTTTCATAACAGACTACAGCTAAAAGGTCCCAAATTTGCCATAATGTCTTTAGCCTTCCTATTATCTAGTGATAATCTGGCTCTCATTCTCAGACTGCCTGACAGCTGCAGACACTCGTTATATATGACAGCTGTCAAATAAATGTAATTACTTTTAATACTTCTACTTTTGATTAACTTAAGGCTTGATGCCTTAACTGTATGGAAATAATTTTAATGTTTTAATTAAATAATGTTTTGCCCATGGAAACCAGACATTGAAACATTTGAAAAATATTTGGTCTCATTATCTCACTCACATTGACTTCGGTTGATTAAAATACAATAAGTGGTAAATATAAAAAAAAAGTTATGAAAAAAAATTACTTTTAGAGAAAATGGTGTATATTAAATATTATATATTTAAAGATAAGTATAGAAATGAATAGAATGATAGAAAAGACTTTCCAAGTGTTACTTCTCACACAGAGAACAATACTGAATGTTTTTTTTTTGTTGTCGTAGGGGAGGTCTTATGCGTTTGATCGGGTTTTTCCGACCAACACCACCCAGGAGCAAGTTTACAACACCTGCGCCAAGCAGATTGTCAAGGGTACGATTAAACATCCATCCATCCATCCATCCATCCATCCATCCATCCATCCATCCATCCATCCATCCATCCATCCATCCATCCATCCATCCATCCATCCATCCATCCATCCATTGATTTATTTTGTCTTTTTACCCTCAGATGTTCTTAGTGGATACAATGGGACTATCTTTGCATATGGACAAACCTCCTCTGGGAAGACTCACACCATGGAGGTACGGCTTGGGCTTACATTAAAATGAAACAGTTTGTACATGTTGTTTTTTAGGCATTGACAGAATAAGTCTTTGACCAACTGTTTTTTTACATTATAAACCCCTTTTTCTTTAGGTTTGAGCAGTTTCATTATGTGCTATTATGAGATATTTGCTGAATTAGGGACCAACATCAGACGTTAATTTCCATCTCATTCAATTTAAATAACAAAAAAAAATTTATTTATCCCGAAGGGAAATTAAATGTGACAGTGACTCATAGGATCTCTTATCATTGCTGTTTCCTGTCTGTTTCTGTTTCAGGGAAAGCTGCATGACCCTCACCAAATGGGCATCATTCCTCGCATTGCTGAGGATATTTTCAACCACATCTTTGCGATGGACGAAAACCTGGAATTCCACATCAAGGTCCACTATTAGAGTTGTTTCATGAATGCTTTACTGATTAGAACATTTGTGTTGTTTAGATTTTGAGCTTTTGTTCTCCTTTCTCATTTAACTTTTCGCTTTTCTTGTTTTTTCTAAACAGGTTTCCTACTTTGAAATCTACATGGACAAAATCCGTGACCTTCTGGATGGTAAGTGAAACCAAATGCTGTAAATTACAAGAATGCTTTGCTGATGCAATGGAGTGCTTCTATTTACTCACTTTGAAATGTCAAAACCTTAAAGAATCTGATTTTATTTCAATGTTACACCTCCCTTAGTGACAAAGACCAACTTGTCTGTCCACGAGGATAAGAACAGGGTTCCATATGTTAAGGTTTGTAACAGAGCTGATCTATGTTTCATCCTTCTAAGGGAACGGCTGGCTGCATTATGTCCATGATGATATCTCTGGCTCATATTCTGTCTCCCTAGGGATGCACTGAGCGCTTTGTGTCCAGTCCTGATGAGGTTATGGATGTGATTGACGAGGGCAAAGCTAACCGCCATGTTGCTGTGACCAGTGAGTATCAGTGATGGAGCTGGAGTTTTGCAATCCCACAAAAAAAATAATTTATTAATAAAATATTTATTTCGAAGTGTTAAGAAATTACTCATACTCTATGAGCTTTATGTAAATTTTGTTTTCTCTACAACCAAATTTAATGCGACAATCCAACAAAATTAGGAGATAAGATCCAAGCACAACACACTGAAGTTTTTCTTTGTAATATGACAGAATGAGTGAAGGATTTTACAAGGCACTGATTCTAAAAAGAAAATATCTTCATCCTGTTAGTTATGTTCTGATGCCCTGATTTCACATCTGAAGAAACAGTCCAGACTCTGATGATTACCAGCTTTAGTGATAATGATTTGCTACTGATACCTAAGGTGATGGTCGAGTTATTTCACTGTTAGCTCCACACTATTGCTACACTTCAAGACAAGAAAAATAAAAGATTAAGAGACAATAAAAACCTACATGTCAGTTAAAAGTTAATCCAAGCAGGTGACTGCTCAATCCTTTTTAACATGTGTTTGCCTTTTCGCTGCAAGTAAATACAATTTGGGAATATTTATTAGACAAAACGATATAGCAGACGCATAAACTCCACAAAAAGAAACTGTGTTAAAATAACCTTCATTTTAAGTTTATGAGGAAAACAATAAAGATTGGAAGAATATATAAGGCATGAAGTTTAACTAAAAGGTGCCACATTCAGGTTGCGTTGGTAAGTGGACCAAAGTACAGGTCAGAACTGACAGAAATGTGAACAGAAGCTTTAGAACAGGACAGAGAAGCTGAGTGACTGTGGATTTGATTCCAGCTTCCCCTGTCAGAGTTAATGTGTTCATGGGCAAGGCATTTTCATCCCAAGTTGTCTACCATTCTGCTCCTTGGTGTATTAACTGGTGTGTTTGTTGGTGAGTGCAAATAGATGAAGGTGGCCCTAGTTTAAAGTAGTTTGAGGGGCTGATATGACTAGAAAAGCTTTTTTATAAATTCAGTCAATCCACAATTACAAAAAATAAAAGTAAAATCTAGTCCTTGAAATGTCAAACAGGGGAGTGAATCAGTGATTTGCATGTCAGCTTGCAGAGGAGGAGTTGAGTGACAGAATGAAAGAATGAATACACAGCAAAACTAAACCAAACAAAAAAGAAATGATTTAATTAAAAAGCTAAAGAGTAAAATATGAATATAAACTTGAACATAAATAACAGAGGTAGGAACAATAATCATCTTAAAGGACAAAAGTAAACCTCTTAAAAAGAACATTATAGGAGACAAATCCCCCCCAAAAATAATCGTGTCGCAAACCAATCCAGCTGCAAATTCAAAACAGCCAGCTATTAGGAGGCAGATGGGGAAAAAAACAGAAAACTAACGACTGGGAAAAGAGAACTTGGTTGATCAAGGAGCAATCTGAGGAATGAAACTAGAAACAAACAGATCTGAGATGTTATCTGTTCTCTGTACTGCCTGGTGCTGCTGGGTTTGGGGTTACAATGCCCATCTGCAGTAGGCAGTAGGTAGTTTACAGGAGAAGATGCAAAGTTCTAACATTTTAATCCAGGTCATTTTAACTGCAAATCTATAAAATACATAATTGTTAAATGTCAAAAACATAAAAACCCACCTTTAAACTTAAACCCTAAAGAGTCTGAAATTAAAATCTGGTTAAACCTAAACTAAATTTTCATAAATGGACAAGTCTCCTATTTTGGGACTTGTCTCTTAAATCCTGCAGTTTCATTTTCTGCTCCAGTTTCTGTTTTCATCTATAAATGTCTCCGATGTAAAAGGCTTATAATGAAAAGGTGAAATTTCAAATTTTTTTCTCCTCCATTCCAATAATGATTACTCTATCTATGTAAACAGTTTGTAGTATAAATGGCCAACATATGGAGGTAATATGCCAACTCATTGAGGTAAAACCAAATTTATCTTGCACATGTTAATTATTACAAATAGTTTTCTAATCACAAGATCTTTCAAATTTAATGAATTTGGGGGAAATTTCCACCTGTAAAACAAAAAAGATGCAGTTTTTCCAGCAACTGGAATCTGCTTGAAATATTTTAATATTCTTCAGCACTAAAGGGTTAATGATAACACAATCTATTTATACACATAAGTTTTGCCAATGTTTTGTTATAATAACTTGAATTCAATATCTTCTAAGACCAGACAGGGAACAGCATGTAAGCAGAAGTGGATCTCAGATTCGCTGAAAGCTGCATTCCTGTGCAGCCCAGGGTTGTGTTCTTCCTGTCGGTCCATGCTGACTCACTGTGCTGCAGAGTGATGTGCTGATAGCAGACTAATGGGGCTACTGTCTGCCGATGCTGAGCTGATGCCCTCAGATATCATCTGCAGAGAAACATGAACTTTCAGGCTGTGAGGAGGTTCGATAAGAAGACTCATTTAGCAGAATGGTGCTCGCTGTGAAACGGTCGCGTCATCCTCCACCTGTAATGACTGCTTTGATAGGTTTAAGATTAGAAATAAGGGATAGGATACTATCCCTAATAGGATACTTACAAGGATATTGTTTTCTCACACAATTTAAACATTATTATAAAATTTTTACAGCCCTCATCACAATTTAATGGGCATTATTCCCTAATGGCAATAATGGGCAGTCGCCCAGGGTGACATTAAAAGAAGAAGTGGAGTACAACCGCAAGTTAAAAAAACCCCAACTAATTCTGCTGAGAATTAGACCTCTGGATTGCCTGCTTTGTGTGGGACTTTACTTCCTTGTTTTCTATCCCAGAATTTCTGTTTTAATAGTTTGAAGTGTAACAGCAAAAGGATTCCCCACCAAACCAATAATACCAGAATCACCTTGGCTTCCGACTAATTTACCCCTTTTTTTTCTATAAAACTAAAAAAAAAAAAAAAAAAAAAATCTTACTTGGACTCTTTTGCTTATTCCTTAATGTTTATTTGCCAGAACAGAATAAAAAGGATAAGTCAGTTAAACTCTCTAAGATCAAATTTTCTTTGTGAAAATATTTATTAAAAGACCATCTTTTTCTGAAGTGTGGACCATATAAACAGGCTAAAAGCTGTGTGGATATTGGTGCCTCAGGTGCTTTATATTTGTCTCCAAAACCTAAATTGATGATTTTATATCACATTTGAACATTTTTGGTGTTTGTCTTAAGTTTATGTGTCTTATGTTTTTGTATTTCTGCAGACATGAACGAGCACAGCTCTCGCAGCCACAGCATCTTCCTGATCAACATCAAACAGGAGCACGTGGAGACAGAGCAGAAGCTGTGTGGGAAACTCTACCTGGTGGATCTGGCTGGCAGTGAGAAGGTGAGAGAAACTTCGAGATGAACAATAAATCCAACATCAATAAAGCTCTTAAATCTAATCGGTGATCATTCTGCCGTGTGTTTGGTGTCCAATCCAGGTCAGCAAGACCGGAGCTGCAGGTTCTGTTCTGGATGAGGCTAAAAACATCAACAAGTCTCTATCTGCCCTGGGGAACGTCATCTCTGCTTTGGCTGAGGGAACGGTAACAGTATCCAGTTCTCTTTTTTGTTTTGTTAAACCATTTAATTAATTAAACTGAAAGAAATCCATTAAGTTGTCTGTTTTTTGAGATGTAAAACGGATCAAACAATCTGTAACCTGCAACATTATGTGTATTTAAACCTCTATTCATTCAATTTGACTGGATTTAGCTTCATTATCTTGTAGAAAAGAGGTTTTCTGTCCAGCCTGTCGACTAAAGTCTTCACACACTCGTTCCCTTTAGTCAGCTCAGCAGTTTTTTAGGAAATGCCAGAACGATCTCCAGCATGCTGTCACATTTGCTGGCTGCAGAGCTGTCAAGTCTGTCACTGCTGTTCATGCTCTGTAAAGAGTTTAAACCATTAACATTTAGAATAACAAAAAATATATATTCATCATTCCCTAAGGTTTAATTTAGTATTAATGTTTGCTTGTCTTAGGATCAATTCCTGTCTCTCATTTCCTGATCTTCCCTTTTACCTCTAGCTGAATCAGTTTCTGTTTTTGTTTGGGGTCATCTTCTCCGTCCTTCTGCTCTTTACCGTCGATTCATTCATTATCGCTTCACGAATCTTTCCTCTTCTGCAGAAAAGTCACGTTCCGTACCGTGACAGCAAAATGACCCGCATCCTGCAGGACTCACTGGGCGGAAACTGCCGCACCACCATGTTCATCTGCTGCTCCCCATCCAGCTACAATGAAGGGGAGACTAAATCAACTCTGATGTTTGGACAACGGTAGATACACAGAGTACAGCTTTGATTAAAGGGATACATATTAAGAAGGACATTAAATAAATGCAAATTCTCTACACTTTATAAATTAAAATATGTGATTACTGCAATCTTAAAATATTAATCCTATTTTAGAGTATTTACCTCCAATAAATGAAGCTAACAGTCTTAAAATAGCTCTACTAATACTGAGACTTTACTACCTTAAGTTATGCTTTATGTACTTTTTGGTTGATTGTTTAAAGATGTTTTAATTTAGGGAAATCAGAGTAATGACGGCTGATGTTGTTATTCTATTTTATTTAACTCTGCAATTATGCAACACTTTGCATTCAGGAATAAAAACAAAATAAAACACAGAGTTTGCTTTGAGGTCATGTTGTACAGTAGAGCAGTGAAACTAAAGAGTGTTTCCAGCATTAGTCTTCAAGCTGTTTTTTACTTTTATCCCTTTCCTTTTCTTTGCCGCAGTGCCAAGACCATCAGGAACACGGCCTCTATTAACCTGGAGCTGACCGCCGAGCAGTGGAAGAGGAAGTACGAGAAGGAGAAGGAGAAGAACAAGACAATGAAGGAGACCATTCAGAAACTGGAGGCGGAGCTCAACCGCTGGAGAAATGGTTCGATTAATCTTACAAATATTCTCTCTTCAAATTAAGCTTCTTTTTTTTGAGTCTTCTGGTCAGACAAGAGATCCAAACCTGCAGCAACATGTTTTTCCTCTACAGGGGAGGACGTCCCTGAGACTGAACGGACCACCGCAGACGTGGTGACCCGTATTGAGTCGGTGGAGGAGCGCCCTGTGTTGGACAATGACACCTCCTCCATTGTGGTTCGCATCTCCGAAGAGGAGCGACAGAAGTATGAGGAGGAGATCCGCAAGCTGTACAAGCAGCTGGATGACAAGGTTAAAGTCCACAAGCTAGAGTCAATGTGCTGTTTATTTATGTTAGGTTTTATATTTGGATTATCGTATGCAGTCTTTATCATGGGTGTTTAACAATGACTTATTTGTGCAATTCTTCTGTACGAAGGCTTTGCATTAATTGTAACATCATGCTTGCATCCATGCAGGATGATGAAATCAACCTGCAGTGTCAGCTGGTGGAAAAGCTGAAGCAGCAGATGCTGGATCAAGACGAGGTGAGAAAATGTTCCCAAGTGTCTTTGATCATTTGTGTCTGTCTCTGTTGAGAATGTCCTACTTGGATTTTTTTAATCCCCTCCCCAGCTTCTGGCCTCCTCTCGAGGAGACGGGGACAAGGTGCAGGCTGAGCTGGGTAGGCTGCAGGTGGAGAGCGACTGTGCAAAGGCTGAGGTGAAGGAGGTGCTTCAGGCTCTGGAGGAACTGGCCATTAATTATGACCAGAAGAGCCAGGAGGTGGAGGAGAAGGGTCTGCAGAACCAGCTGCTGGCCGACCAGCTTGCCCAGAAAATGGTACGCTTTAATGCGATGCGATTGGTCAGATAAAGGATAAACAAACTGGACGCTGAACAAAAAGCCTGTTTATGTCATGTTGCTCCAGAGAAAAACACGTGTTACAGGAAATAGTCTTTGAGCATGAAAATAATTAGCCTGACGTAGTACGACTCAATTCTAGTCAGAATATGAGTCTGATACTGCTCCATAGAGCTGTGATTATGGGGCGTGTTTCGAACGAACCAGGAAAAAAAATGCCTCTGCACTCAATTGGATAGACCTACAACCAATAAGAGCAACGGAGTGCGTGACGTATGTTAAGCGAGGCATAGTTGTTGTCCACAAAAATCAAAGCGTGCAGTTCCACGCCTAGAATAAGAAGATGAGACTTGATCGCGTTTCTCTGTTCCTCTTTTAAAATTAATTTGCTGTCGATATCTTCTAGAACAGACCTAATAGCAGAATCTACTCACCCAAACTCTCCAGCGGCAGCCATTATTGTTGTCACCCTAGCGCGCTTTGGTTACGTGGTTGATTACGTTACTCTTGATCATCTGTCCATCATCGTATAAAGTCCGCCCTGACAATTTGATTGGATCGCCTGACAGTGGGCGATAATACTCGCGCTACTATGGAGCAGAGCCAGACCGAACTTCCCCGAACTCAAACCTTGTGGGCGGGGCTAAGTTCTGACTGGCACCCAGGCTAGAAAATAATGCCACGGGGTTATGGAATTTATGAAATTACTGGTTTAGGTGAAAATATCATAATGAATAAATATTTGAACAATACATTCCTATTCTTTCACTATTGCAAAATTATTCAGCCTCTTTGCATTTTTTTGTTACTTCTCTCTATAATGTTTTAAATAAATTGCTCTATTATCTATGATACCAATAATAACTCTGCATTCCTGAGTCTGAATTTTTTCATAATCTAGATGGTCTTTGGATCATCTTTTACATTTACTCCTTCACGACATACCTAGACCTTTTCCACCTTAAAGGGTGTCATTACAAGGTGTCCTCCTTCTCCTTTTCCCCAGGCGAGTCTCATGGAGCTGGAGGCGGAGCTGTCTCGTATGCAGGAGGTGAGCGGTCAGCAGAGGAAACGCATCGCAGATGTCCTCAACGGGCTCATGAGGGACCTCAGCGAGTTCAGCAACATTGTGGGGAACGGAGAAATAAAGCTGGTGAGTACAACATAGGACTGGAGGAGGTTTGGACATAATGGAGGCAGAGTTACCACAAATTTTCCTCATTATGCCTTAGTTCAATTCAATTCAGTTTATTTACATAGCGCCAATTCACATCACCCTTTACAGTTCAAATGTATTCACAGTTTTCTATATAAGGAAAACAAGTTGATTGCATCGACTCATTGACGCGGATGCAATTCCTCACCACAAGCATGCTTGTAGCGAGAGTGGAGAGGAAAAACTCCCTTTTAACAGGAAGAAACCTCCAGCAGAACCAGGTTCAGTGTGAGAGGCCATCTGCCGAGGCCGACTGGGGTTCAGAAGCAGAGATACAAATAGCAACTGTAAAAGGCGGCCCCATCCAGGAAACACACAGCCAGGCAGATGTGCTTTGACCCAACTCCCATGTCAGAGAATGAAGAGAGCACATCCAGCCAGTCAGTCAGAGAAACAGGATGACACTGGAAAAGTAAGCTGATCTCCAACATCTATAAACAAAGGTGTTGATGGAAGCAGCAACCCTTAGATTGGAGTCCATTCATAAATGTACTTGCTCCATATTTAGCCTTCTGAAATGGTTTTGCTCCTGAAGCCATCTTGTCCAACATCAGCTTTATTGTCAGGTAGAGCTTAGACTTTTCAACAGTTGAAATGCCAGGTTCCTTTGATGTAAAAAGCACAACCTAGTGTCCCAAGGCTCTCCAGATATATTAGACTATAGAGATGTCTCTTATCCAGTCCCTTCTTTATGCAAAGCCAGTTTTACTTAAAGAAAAGCAACCCTAGTGAGTGAGGCTGCCCAACACACCATCAGTTTTATATGACCCTAACCCATCCTCTAATACTCATGAGGAGGACAAAAACAAAAGTTTTACGTTTTGTAATCCTCAGCCGGTGGAAATCAGCGGGGCCATTGAGGAGGAGTTCACTGTGGCACGACTCTACATCAGTAAGATCAAGTCGGAGGTGAAGAGCATGGTAAAGCGATGTCGCCAGCTGGAGAACATGCAGCTGGAGTGCCACCGCAAGATGGAGGAGACTGGGCGGGAGCTGTCCTCCTGCCAGCTCCTCATCTCCCAGGTAAGCGATGGGGGATAAGGGATGCGATACAAAATAAACTATGAAGAGAGGGTTTATTCTTTTCAGTGGATGAGGGGTTTTCATCTCTCTACTGTCGTTCTTGTTCCAGCATGAGGCTAAGATCCGCTCTCTGACTGAGTACATGCAGAGCGTGGAGCAGAAGAAGAGGCAGCTGGAGGAGAGCCACGACTCCCTGACCGAAGAGCTGGCTAAGCTGCAAGACCAGGGTAAAGCACAGCACAGGAATCTGGGAATTCATCCATTACATTGGGGCTGCTGCCTATTACCAGCAGTCTACGGGTGAAATGTCACCAGCCTGTCAGGGCAACACAGAGACAGAGACAATGAACACCCCTAAGGACAATTTAGAGAAGCTAGTTAACCTAACAGTCATATTTTTAGAATGTGGGAGGAAGCCAGAGTACCCAGAGAGAATCGAAATCCTTCTTGCCGCATAAATTCTCCCTGGTTGCTTCTTTTTTTTCACTGAACTGTGGATCCAAATTCCTCTTTTCCAGATAACTCTCTGCTTGAGGAGAAAGATGGAGAGAAGGGTGAGCTTGAGGATGGAAATACGAAGGTGAGAAAGATTTTACTGAGGGAAATTCTCTCACCTGAAAGTAGGAAACATGAAAAGAGTCTGTAGAGAAAAGTAAGCATGTGTGAAAAGAAACTTACATTGAGCTCTACCTTAACCAGACTCCAAAGCTTTAGTTTTCTAAGAAATTTATGAAATTATTTACTCATTTGATTTAACTGGAGTGCTTAATACATGCAGTATCTGGTTGTCCATCATCAGTCAGCATCTTTTAATGCTTGTGGTTTTTTCCATTTCCAGAAAGCCCTTCGTCAGCAGGGGGAGTCTCACCGCGGCCTCCATCACAAACAGCTGGCCCGCCTGCGGGATGAGATCAACGAGAAGCAGAGGATCATCGATGAGCTCACAGAGTCTGTCCCCATTTATTTTCCTTTCATCACACCAACTTGTCCTCCGTCATATCTCTTGTTTCCCATTATCATAATTTCATCATAAATTGACCATACACGTGTTTCTATGAAAGCAAACCTGTGCTTTTTGTCCCCCATCTTCCCTATTTTCTGAAACTTCAGTCGTAACTCCAAGATGGAGCTGGAGCTGGCTCAGGTGCGTGCTGACTTTGAACGTCTGAAGAGTCAGGACAGCTGCAAGAGTGAGCGCCTGGAGGAGCTCTCGTAAGTATTCAGGAGCTCTACTTTTTTTTTTTTTTACACCATTAACATTTATTAAGGTAAATTAATAATAATAATGTAAATGAACAGATTTTAAATATATTTGGACAGAGGTGATAGATTTGAGTTTAATTCCAGCAAAGACTTAAGGATCACTGAAGAGATGCTTTTATTGTCCTTTTAGATTCCTGCATGAGCGTCACGAGCAGACCAAACAGGACTTGAAGGGTCTGGAGGAGACCGTCGTAAGTTCAGCAGGAACCACATCATCAAAATGTATTCTTTCGCAACAGAAAAAAAAAGAAATTAGTTATTTACATACAACTTCTGGAGCAACTTTCTTCTTGTGGGGACTCCAACAGCTATTGTTTGATTGGTCATGATTTTAAATTTGGTGCTGTTGCTGCATTGAGGAAATGCTGCATGGAGAGAGAGAGACTGGCCAGGGATTCCCAAGAGCTCTGCACTTTCTGTAAAGCATAAAAAACATGGCCAGAAGAAAACGATTGTTTCTTGCTACCATGAGTAAAAGAATACAATTTTGAAGAGGATTTTCTGTATATCTGTGTGTCTGTCTCTAAGGCCCGTGAACTCCAGACCCTCCACAACCTGCGCAAGCTGTTCGTTCAAGACCTCACGTCGCGGGTTAAAAAAGTAAGATCCTCTTTTCTCAAGAAAATGCATACGCTTCAAGCCTCTAGGTAGAGCATGCCTGGTAGAAATGTCCCAATTGTTAGAAGTTCTTCACATTCTCTTCAATTAAATAAAAAAAAATACTTTATTAATCCTAAAGAAAAATTAAATGTTGAATTACATTTCTGTTGCAGTAAAGCCAGAAACTGTATGTTATTTGTCAACACAAAGTAGAGCATAATTGTGATGTGGAAGGAAAACGATTTATGGTTTTTACATTTCCTTTTTCAAAACAAAATCATCACCAGTATCAGCTCTTTAGCTAAGTAAGAACCTTTATTAAAAGTTTAATAACATATTTTTGTTTTGGCAGACCCCGATTGACATATTCTGTAAAAAAAAAATGTTGGTGTAGCTTTGTGAAGCAAAAAAAAAAAAAAAAAAATCTATATATATATAAAAACATTAAAATCCCATGACCCATGAAGGGGACGTGGCTAACCTATGGAAGAAAATGGTCCGACTAGCATTAAACTACAGCCCAGTTTTTTGCTCCATGCGTAGCAAAATACTAAGCTGCAGGCCATCCCCATGGGGAAACATGGAAGCTGTAGCATCATGCTTTGGGGATGTTTTTTCTTCAGCGGGTAGAGACAGCCTGAAAACAGAAATGTGATAAAACCTATTAGAGGCATTAAAGGACTTTAGACCAGATGTGGAGGTTAACCTTCAATGGATTGGAATATATTTAAACTATCACCAATATATAACCTCCTCATTTCAATTATGTGTTTATTATTAATAATGAGATATGTGGAAAATCTGCAGAGATATGAAAGATTCAACAGGAACACCAAACTGCTGTTTTCACATAAACCTTCGATAGAATGATGTCGTACACCCCTCCCCTCTTCATAAGGGACCTCTGTCTTGGTTTCTGTCTCTGCAGAGTTCCGAAATGGAGCCTGATGATAGCGGGGGGTCTTGCACCCAGAAGCAGAAGATTTCCTTTCTTGAGAATAACCTGGACCAACTTACAAAGGTTCACAAACAGGTGAGAAGCACAAAGAAATGAGACCCGTCATAATCACAAAGATTGTGAATCTGCAGCTTAAAATAATTAATAGAAAATGATAAAAGTTTTTTCTTGCCTTTTCTACACAGTTTTTGTTTAAATTGTTAACAAAACACTGATTACCGCTAAGATCTCAGTGGACTTCTGTTAGAAAGATATTTATCTAAGACAGTTAGTCAATCAAAACCTTGAATGCTGCCGCATATTTTGTCCTGTTCTCTGCTTTTCTCTTCCCTCCAGCTGGTTCGTGACAATGCAGATCTGCGTTGTGAGCTTCCAAAGCTGGAGAAACGTCTTCGGTCTACTGCTGAGAGAGTTAAGGCCCTGGAGACTGCATTGAGGGATGCCAAAGAGGGCGCCATGATGGACCGTCGCCGCTACCAGCAGGAAGTTGATCGCATCAAAGAGGCCATGAGGGCTAAGGTTGCTTCAAGACGCCCCCATGCTGCACAGATCGGTACAGCACTCGGTTCTTTCATTGCTGCTTCCCAGTAATCAGCCATGGCTGAGTAACTTCTAACAAATGAAACAACTTATTATTTCAACAGCAAAACCAGTGAGACCAAAGCAGCTACCTGTTTGCTCTCCTACGAATCCGTTCTACGCCTACATCAGGGCTACTGAACACGCCAACGCCTACAGCAACGCCCTCTTCCAGGGCAGCATGACACCGAAGAGCTCCTCCAGCATCGACTGCAACCTGAACTCAGTGCAGAGCAACACGTAAGTTCAAATCCATCCTCAGCTTGTTTTATTTGTGTCCAGCATATTTTGCTGCAATACTCCAACCTTTTTACATTTTTACATCAGAACGTCAGATTTCGATGTTTTACTATGACAGACCAACAGAAGGTGGTTCATAATTATGAAGCAGAAAGAAAATCTCTGGATACGTATTTTTTTTTATCTGAAAACACTGGCTTGCCTTTGCTGTACCTTCACCCTCCTAAAAAAACATGCAACCAAAAGCCTTCAGTGGACATATCCGATATATCGCCACATCTTTAAAAAGAAGGATAAGTGCCTCAGAAACCTAAGAAGAAATGCCAACTAAACTGATATTGCTAATTGTAATTCCCTCACATTGATGTTACCCTGAACACACCATTCCAACATGAAATGCTGTAAGTTCAGCAGTGAGAGACAATCTGGTCAGAGTTTATGGAAAGATGGAGTTTAAATACAAAGAGCAGTACTGGAAGAAAACCTCCTGGATGCTACAAATAACTCAAGATTGTTGCAGAGGTTCACACTCAAGCAGACTAAGGGCCCGATCTTCAGAAAGTTTGTCTTAAAACAGGATCAAACATGTTTGTACGAGCAGAGCAGATCTTTAACGAAGGTGCCAAGTGATGAGCATGTGGAAACCATTTTTTTCATCTCTTTTTCATCAATATGCAGATCATATTCTAATGACCAAACTGTCCAGATTTAGGGGTGGAGGATATCCAAATGTTGACATGTACCACTTGCAAAGCGATTTTTCCAATCAGAAACTCAACTGCTGACTATGGTTGAAATAATCAATCGTAATTAATTGATTATTGAAATAATCGTCCACTAATTTAGTAATCCATTAATCATTTACTGGAGTATAGAGTGTAAAATATGAAAAATTGTAAATAAATATTTAAACATTTTGCACAAAATGTTTTTGTCTGTCAATATGCCATACCCAGAAAGCCACAAGTTTCTGTTTCACCTGATTTAATTTTGTAAAAAAATATTTAAGGAACCTTTGGCTATCCGATTATTAATCCAAAACATAATCGACTTGAAAAACAATTTTGTTATTTTCTGATGGCCAGGTAAAAACTGACACAAAAGAGATGCTGGTACAATGTCAGATATTTGGAGAGATATGCTGGGCACACGTAAACATATTTGGAGCATCAAAAATACAAATAGTAAAATAATATTTCTTTCTTCCTTGATTTAAAACACATAAAAATTGTGGACAGGTATTTTCCTTGTCTTTTGTTTGTAGGACTTTGAGTCGGTTATGAGGTAAACATTTAATATTGTTTTGTGTTATCATTATGTAGTTTTTTTTAGAATTCTCCTAATTCTTTCATCTCCATGGCTTAGAACCTAATTTTTCTTTTACAGCCACTCTGAAACTGCCAACATATCACACAATCAGCATGATTCACCAAATCAGAATCAGTATCAACAAATCTGGTTTGCACATCTTAACATTTGTGCAGCAATCCTTGATGATCAACCGCTACATGGCCACTTACCGCACATAATAAAAAAAAAAAAAAAAATGCATCTCAATTTAGTGCCTCTTATTTGGAATCTTTGAAGATCTGGACTTAAGTGTGAAAAGTTCATATAAAGAACAAAAAACAAAACAAAAAACCCATCAGAAATGGTCAAATTCTTTGACAAGTACACATTAGTTTCTCATATTCTTCTACATCATATAACTCAATGAAAGGTATAATTTTTTTGGTCGCAAGGTGACAAATTATAAAAAGTATGAGGGTTGTAGATTCCTCTGTACAACATTGCACTAGATATGTCAGTGATATCTTTTGAAGCAGAAGCTTTTAAAAAAAAAACTGATTTTGTACCTTGAAATGAAAAAGATTTTTCAGGTCACTCCATTTAGCTGCAATATTTCCTTGTTTGACAGAGTTTCCACAGCTTTGGGCTACAGAGCGGGGAGATATAACGGAGATGTGCTGGAATCCTACCCACTCAACATTGACAACGGTAAATAAACATCTCAGATACCTCATCCGATTCTTATAATGGCTCTAATTATTTTAACTTTTAAAAATCTTCTAAAACTAATGATTTGTTTGCAACAGGTAACAACATCAGTGAAACCAGAGACATAAATGATAACAGGTGAGGCCAGAAACATTCAACTTTCACAGCTTTGCTCCTGTAAAACTGACAAAAACTGGTTTGACATGGAGTACTGATCTTATTGAGTACTTTATTAAGAGTTAAACAGTAGACCTTAATAGAGTGTTAAAGTAAAACACAATCGGATGGTCATTTATGGCTTTGGTTTCTACATTAACAGGAGTGATGTTCCCTGTGGGCGCGAGGCGGATGATTCAAACAGGCACCATAGCATGCAGCAGCAGCCGACCGCTTCAAGTTGTAAGTTCATATGAAGGCCGCCTTTAACAACAACTAAATACAGTACCTGATCCCAGTATTATTTAGGATTTCATTTTTTCTTAATTCAATCTGAAAACTCCTTCCGAAAATAACAGAGACTGATGATTTATCTCTTTACAACTGTGCTTCCTGATGTTGACTAACCAGTCTTGGTTTGGCACTAAAATTAAACTATAGTTATAGCATTCCAGCCCAATTATTCGTCTACATTTTTTTTGTGGCGAGACATTATACGGTAGGGTAAAACTTTAAGAAGGTCTGGTTTGTTTAAAGCAGTTCCTAAACAGTAAATATTTTTGAATTTATTATCAAAATGAATGAGCACCTCAGAGAGAAAGATAAAGTCTTGCAGAATTTGGGAGCATTTTCAGTTCTTTTGTTGTTTTTTGTGCAGTTTTGTTGCATAAAGGAAAACAAATTATTTGAGAAAATACAAAAACTGGAACAGGTTCATCAAACCATATTTATATGAGAATAAAAAACAATACATCTTTGTAGTTTTGACCCATTCTTATATAGCTAATGGCAGATTTTTATATAAATGACACAAAAAAAACTTTATTTTATTTCCCTCCAAGCTTTTGCAGTTATAGGTCTGTTAATTACCTTTATTACCTTCTTTAAACTGTGCTTTGAAGAACCTGTTTTGTACCGTGTATTGTACCAAGGAAATTATGAATATTCCAAAATAAATTACTATAATGATTAAGAAATACATTAAATATCTTCATTTAGAAATTAATTTTTGGTATTACACTTAAATAATTTAAATAAAAGGAATATATTGACAGTATAATGCAGCTATAATAAATTAGTATATTGTGGTTTAATACCATGCATCATACATCCACAGAAAAAGTTTTTTTAAAGTATTTTTTTCTGTTTTATTTTCCAGTTTTATGTCTCTAACACAGAAGGGATATTTTAGACTGATTTTGTCTAGTTTGATCTAAAATATTCAAAGTACTAATGCTCATTTAACTGGAAACAGCATTTACAAATTAAGTTTGCAATGCAAAGCACTTTTAAATAAAAATCATGATTTTACTAATTCAAATTTGTAGTCATTTAATGTAATTTGCTTCTTGTTGTTAATCTCTGTTGTGATTTTCTTTGCAGAGCTCGACCAAACACTGTACCCCTTTAAGGAACCTCCCGTTCTGTTTGCATGCAGCCTCTGTAACCTCCGCCCACTGCTTCACCGATGAAGAAGATGATGATGAAGATCTGTAGCCCTGTAGTAGATGAAGCCCCACCCGTTCCCCTGCTGACCGTTCTTGCTCTCAGTTTCAGGCTTCAGTCTCTTCCATCTCAGTCAGTGTTAAGCATATTGTCTCAGTCTCTCCTTTATTTAGACAACCAAATCTCAGCTGTATCTACTTATTAATCTGTGGGTTGATCGGCTGACCTGCACATATCTCTCCCTGAGGTGACTGGACTGAAACCTGACTGAACCCAGATTGCTCGGTACTCACAGTGTGTAAATAGTAGTGCTGTATACTCCTGCTCAGTTTTTGACCAACAACTGTTTGTTCAAATTCCACATTTCCTCCATTCCTTTGCCATGTGGGTTGAAAACGTACAGTAAGCGAGCCTGAACATTTTGATCTGTCATAAATAAGAGCATATACCAGGTAGTCACCTTCTCATTGTGCATGTCATATAATTTGCCTTCTAAGCTTCCAAATTTCTGCATGTGTCCTGTTTGAACCTTTTAACAGATGCAGGATGCAAAAGGATGGTTTCCCTTAATCCAGATCTCTGTATGTTTTCTATCTGAAAGTAGATTCAAGTGCAAATAGAGATTATTTTAAATTTTAAAAAGAAAAACATGACAAATGAGCGAGGGGATCCCAGCTAAAACTGCAGTTGTATTAAAAAACTCTACTATTTACTATGGTAACTGTACATTCCCTGCACTGCTCAAACACCTCGCTATCCCCTCACTATAAACATTAACGCATTCGCTTAGAGTACATTTGTAATTACTACCTCTAGAGCAGCTTGTTGTTTACGAATACCATTCTTTTCAAAAGCTGATCCTGATCCTAGAGTTTCTACAGACATTTGTAACCTTAGAACAGCAATGTATGTAAGTAGATTTAAAACATTTACCATATCTGTAGTTTTCTTCTCATTCAAGTTCATTTAAAATTAAAAACTTTTTCTAATTACTCAGAGTTTAGCTGATGCAAGGCAATTTTACAAAGATGGTCTTTTTAACTTGAGGACACTATGCCATCCTTTGTCAGAAAATTTTACTTCAGTTTGTTTCCATGCATCCTGTGTTTTAATGTGCAGAAGAGCAGTGGCAGTTTTTGGCAGGAGCCATATGGGGAGTTTCCCAGGGTGACATTAGAAAATGAGGCGTAGAAGCACCACTTCCAAAATATAATTTATTTATGTTCCCTGAGCCTGAAATATGTTTTCAATTGATTTCATGCATCTCCAGTTATACGGGACTTAATACCACCCTGGTTGCTTCCCCTGATTTCTGCTAAAAGTATCTGTTCTTTTCTTTTATCTGGAGTTGTTAGATGCTAACTTTAGCATTTCCTCATCTGGTAAAATATGTCTTTACAAACTGGAACTGATTCACTGGATGTTTGCATGAAAGCAGAAATGGAAAGGCGCCGTTTATGTGTGAACAGCTACTGCAAGGCAATGGAGTTAAGGGTCCTTTAATGACAATTTGGAAGCTGTTTTAGATTGATTCAGCGTGTTCCCCAGCTGAGCAGCCACCAGTCTGGGACATATTAAGAGAAATCCTTTCTCTCATCGTATCATCTTGCTGTTGTTCTTCTGAAAAAAAATCCTGACCAGCCAATCAGGATAGAGGAAAGCAGCATTTCATACAGATGGGAGTTAGATATTTCTGCAATGAATCGTTGAATTAAAAAGGAAGAAAATAGGTAGAGGTTAAAAAAAAAGGACTGCTAAACATCCAACCATCTTCTGTTTGCACAACCAAAACAGGAATAAGATCATTTTGAAACTTTTTTGTATTTTATTTTTGTGCTCAAAGTTTAAATAGATCTGACCCAAATTTAATTAGGCAATAAAATCCTAAACTAGAGATTTAAAAAGATTCAAACACTAATAGGGCTTTTTAAAATAACCCATGAAGTACCATAGCCTTCATCCTGTGTTTCTCCTCCTGCCCACATGGCATCTTGCCTCCTTTCATTACATTCCCGCTCCGCCTGATGCTCTCGCTGGCATTAATAACATCTCAGGGCTTTTAACAAACATAATCAAGCAGACATACATCACCGCCATCGTCTTCCTCCTGAGCTATGTGATTGCTGATGAACAATCAATCCGATCTTGACATCTAAGTAAGATAGAGTGAGAGGAATCCTGAGATTAGAGAAGATATGTACATAAATGCGTACAATACACATAAATATCTCCATTTTAACTCACAGCCTTTCAAATCAAGCAACCCTACAGACATCCAATCTTATATCATGCATTTTTATAGATCTAAATTAGAAGGAGTGTGTAATGTTATCATCTGCTGTTACACTGTCTGAACTCAACATATCTAAGATACATGTGCTATATATTAGTAACCCTGTAAGTAAAGAGCTGCATCATGACATAGAAGGATGCACGCTGACCTCTTTCAGAGAAATGCTTCTTTGATTTGTTTCTGTATGCCTATAATTGTAGTGTTAACATGATTCTGAGTGCGTCACCTTGCAGAATATCTGTAAATATAGATTCATCACTATGCTCTATGTAAACCTGTGTGTTGTAGTAAAAAAGTTCAATAAAAATGTAAAAATGGCTGTGGTGTGGATGTTTGGTTTGAAGAGTCAATGTTAGAACAGATGAAAATGGCTCCATCTAGTGGTTGAAGGTTAAGGTGCAGGACCTTATTCACCATATTGTGAGATTTAAACATGTTTGTAAAAAAACATAATTTTTTATTTTTTTTTTACATTTGTCACATTAAAATTATTTACTTCAACACTATTCATGGAGGGCTGTTAGGTGGAATGCTGATGTGGAAATGTGTTTGGACAGTTGACATTAAACTAATAAATTGAGATATTAATTTTGGAGACGGCCTGGAGTTGCAGGTGAGCACCAGTGACAAAGGGCTAACCGCTGATTACCAAATCTCCTATTGGGAATCATGGGTCAGAAGAAGCTGCCGACAGCTAAGGAGATCTAGGACATTAAAAAGTCTCTAGACTTTCCTGTGGAGGAGACATCTGCTGTAAATAAGCAGCAAAATTTAATTTTGGGTTTGGTGGAGAAGATTAAAGTGCTGTGGATTCGGATTAAAGAGAAACCACAAGTTTGAAGAGTGGAGTTCCAGATTAAGGACATCAAATGCAAATCAATGATCAATATGATAAGACCATAAACTCCAATGGAACGTTAGTAATCCACTTCAATATCAGAAGTGTATGTGCAAAGTGCAGTTATATCAAAATTATATTTACAACAGTTTAAACATTCATTTAGTATAGTTTCTATATCCAAAACCTGGATTAATGAGGACAAAGTTATGGACTTTTAACCTGATGGATATGAATTTAGATTTATAAACAGGTTAAATAAGAATGGAGGAGGAGGTGCAATATATGTGAAGAAATATTTGAAATTAAAAAATAATATAAAATACGTCATTTACTTTGAAGAATGTTGTTAAATGTATAACAATAGAAGTTAAAAGTGTAAAAACATTATTGTTGGTTGCAAGGGTGTAGCTTTGTAATGAAAGTTGGTGGGGACACTCTAAGGGTGATGGACTGACAGTTACTTGACACAAACACTTTCAATAGGGTTTGTATTTTCCAAAATTGAGCTGAAACATACATTTATTGAAAACTTTCCTATTGTTGAAAACACAAAATAATCAAAATACACTGATGTCTATATTTATGGTTAGTTAGACATTAATGTATAAAAAAAAAGACGAATAACAGCCATTTCCGATGCCATTCATCCAACCTCACCTTTTGCTGCCTCCAGCGTGTTTCCTTAAAGATTGCCACATGTTTAGCTCAAACTTACTTTAAACAGTGATTTTATTATAGTCTAAATTTATGAGCTGCAAAATGAATAGTTGTGAAAATATTCTTCTGTTCCCACTGTTGATTTCTGCAGCTCCTCTAAAACTACTGTGAGCCTCGTGGTTCCTGATTTGTGTAATACTCTCCTCGTCCAAGCTGTTATTTTAGGTAGGTGGACATGTTTTATTTTACCATGAAAAAGTTGACTTTATTTACTGTTTGAAAATGTATTAAAAAGGAAATATCTTAAATAAAATGTTTGATATTTACTGGGAAAATTAGAGTAAAGGAGGCTGAACAATTTTAGATTTTTATTTGCAAAACATTTTTTAAACCACATTATTTCCACTTTACAATCACATGCTTTTTTATGTTGACCAGTTGTATAATATCAAAAATAAACACATGTGAAGTTGGATGTTTATTGTTCACAAAATGTAGAAAAATCAAGATGTTAATATTTTTGCTTTTAGATTGATTGGTTGCACTTTCAGTTTTTACTTTTATATATTTCAAAGACATTTTTCATACAAATGGTAAAGGATGCATACTTTGTCTGTTACTAACAAATAACACTGTCACAATCATTATAAGAGAATGAATGGACAATATTTGACTTACAAGTAGCGTTTTCTAACCCTTTCTTTTCATCCATCCATCCTTCCATCCATCCATCCATCCATCCATCCATCCATCCATCCATCCATCCATCCATCCATCCATCCATCCATCCATCCATCCATCCATCCATCCATCCATCCATCCATCCATCCATCCATCCATCCATCCATTATTTTTAAAGGAAGGCAAATGGTTAATAAAGCTGTCACAGATAGGGGGATATATGGTCATCGGGAAAATGAAATAGTTAAATATTTTCCATCTCCTATCATGTTTCTTTAAATGTGTAAATTGCAACCTTTGGTTTTTCTCAGTGACATCAGTGTGCTTCATGCTCTTTTTTTTTTTTTTTTTTTTTTTTTTGTGGCAACCTCTGACCTAAACAGGAAATTGATATGAAAGTCCCCTAAACGTTGAGCTTTTTCAAAGAATATATATCAGCAAATTAACCTGCAATTCTCTCACACCCAGTATGTATGTTTTTCAAAGACTTATAACCATATAAAAGAACGTTAGTGTTTAGTTAAATACTCTGCTTCAGACAGCATTCCCAGAATAAAGCTGAGATGCATGAAGCTTTTCCTCTAAAGCAACTTCCTTTGTGTGATTTTATAATAAGCTCAACTTCATCGTTCCCACGAGAAAGGAAGCCGTGATGTAAACAGCAGTGGCATGTGAAGCATCTTCTGTGGGGTTGAAGCAAATATGAAGGATACAAACAAGTCACTTTGCACAGCAAGGCTTCAGATTGTATGAGACAATCATATTGAATATTATTTCGATAAGATCAGAAATGCTAAAATGTTTTTTTAAGATTACATTTGGTTCGGACTGTTATTTGGAAAAAACAAAAAAAACAAAAAAAAAGAGACAATGGACATAAGATTGTAAATAATAAAGAATGACATTCTAAAATTACAATTACATCACAGTGTTATTTATTCTTTATTCATACATTTTAAACTCTCTGAAATATATGTTATACAATTCACACTGCATGGAAGAGTAGTAAGATTATAAATCAGCGATGGATATTTGTAACAGAAACTGGATACATGCTCTTTTCCCTATCTATGATTGTTTTTTTTGTGTTTTTTTTATGTTCCTGTATC